ACAGGAAGAAAAACTAGAAATATAGGCAAGTTAATATTAAAACCAGTGTAAGGCACAAAACACAATGAGGGCTAACTACTTAATGATTAAAAGTCAAATGGTGCCAAACTGCGTCCACAGGAAATAGCAACTGCAGGCTGTCACCAGGCTATTAGAGAACAATCTTTGCTCAACACACCTACTTACCGCCCTGGAATAATTGCTTATAGAAATGTAACCACATGTATAAACAAAGAAAATGTTCTTTTGCAATAATCTATTGTATATAAGCTGATGCCTTGCTTTTGCAAAATGCACTCAGATACAACTTCCTTGAGTTGTCGTGTCTGTTTGTCATTCACCGAATCCTTGCCCACCGTTCCCGGGGTCCTGTTTCCATCGGACTGATTGCTCCCGGCCGAGCTGGTCCGTCGCAGAGAGACAGAGAGGAAGATCTTCTGTCCGATGATTCACTCCCCAAGTGACCGCAATGGCCGGTGCTGTGCAGATCCGAAGCCAGGAGCCTGGAGCTTCCTCCATGTCTACCATGTGTGTGCATGGTCTCAAGGCTTTGGGCTGTCCTCCACTACTTTCCCAGGCCACAAGCAGAAAGCTGGATGGGAAATGGGGCTGCCAGGATTAGAACCAGCGCCCATATGGGATCTTGGCACGTTCAAGGTGAGGATTTTTGCCTCTAGACCAATGTACTGGGTCCAATTTTTGAATATCTTAAAAACAGGACATCTCAGAGTCAGAGCTTAGTTTAGACATTATCTGAAATACTGGCATGCCATATGGGCACCTGTGGTCATGTCAGATGTCAAATCCTGCTATTGCAGCTGGTAAAGCAATGGAAGATGGCCCAAGTCTTTGGCCCCTTTTACCCATGTGGAGATCTGGAAGAGGCTCCTGGCTCCTGGATTTGGATCAATTCACTGTGTTCATTTAGGAAATTAACCAGCAGATGGAAGTCTTTATTCTTTCTCTCTCTCCCCTACACCCTCTTTTTTTTTTCTCTGTAACTCTGCAGTTTAAATGAAAAATAAATAATTTTTAAAAATGTTTGAAAGAAAAAAAACCACTAAGGGAAGAGTTGCGATTTTAAAATAAGAAACCATTTTACTTGGGGCCAGAGTGGTTGCTCCCAGGCTAATACTCAACCTGCAAGCTCAAGCCTCTCTTATACACGGGCACCTTTTCATGTCCCGCTGATCTGCTTCCAGTTCAGCTCCCTGCCTGGGAAAGTAGCAGAGGGTGCTCCTCCAGGAGCCTTTCATTTATTTATTTTAAATTTTTTTTATAATAATTTTTTAAAATTTTGTCAATCTTTACATAGTTAATTTGGGCAAAAAGGGTCAAGGGCTACAGGAAAGTGGGTAAGACTATTATTTCCATATTGTTTCCTTCATATATCTGAGGTACAGGGGGATATTGAGGGAGAAGCCCCACCCGGTTTCCCACCCACCCCAAGTCCCGCATGTGGGGCATGCTCTGAGATACTCGTTGAAGTGGTTTCAATAGGTCACCAGTTTTGAAATTACTGCCAATCTTGCCTCTCCAAACACAATGAGGTTGTTGAAAAATCCATTAATTGGCATTGTCCATCATAGCGTCTCTATTTGCCCGGTATTTTGTTGCCAACCTATAGCTGAGGTGGTTGATTAACTTGTTCCATCTTCTGTCCCTTCATGGTTTGGGTTCTGAGTCTGGCATTTCAATTGGGGAGATCACCAAAGAAACTTCGTCTGAGGTGTTCCCAGGCCAGATACTTGTATGCACCAGCAAGCACAGGGCCCAGCACAGTCCATCACCTGGTCAGCTGGTAGTTGCAATTGCTGGGTTGGTTCTGTTTTCAGCCCCGCCTTCTACTGGAACCAATGGGTGTTGCAGTCCAGCCTGGTTCTGCACAGCACATACTTGGTCTTCACCGAAACCAGTGGGAGCTGCATCCTGATGAGAGCGGCCCACAATAACCCCCACCAGGCCCACCCCCTACCCTGGTTTGCCAATATGTGTGGCAGACCAGTCCAATCTGTCCCACATCCCCCCTGGCTCTCGTACATGGCAAATGGCATTGAAGCTTGGATCCATCTAACCAGCTCAACAGTCAAGCCTTCACGGGTGTGGTTGGGTGCCTCTCTGTCTAGCTACCCCAGCCCCTGTCCTAGTTCTCGTGCCCTCCCGTGGGAGTGGTAACCCAAGAGGGGGGAACCCACTATTTCCCTCCCAGGTCTCTCATTCCCGGATTGTGCACTTTCCAGGTGGTTCTGCAGTTTAACTTGACAGGATTAGCCCCAGCGCCAGTTTCTGCCAGCTGATGCTACGGCTATGCCCAAACAGCCCTCTCCCATTCTAATTGTAAGTTGCACCCATATGAACAATCCACCCATCCTGGCTTTTCCCTGATCTAGTCCACATGAGGCGCACAGGTGTTGTAGCCCTGCTTAGTCTGGTCTGCCCCCATCCCAGTTCATGCTCTCCAGTGGGAGTAGCTGTCCAGCAGGGGAACCTCCCCTTATTCCCCCGCTGGCTCTGTCCCCTCCCTTCCTGTTTCTCACGTGTGCTGGATGGGCACTGCAGTCACATCCGGCACAGTCAACCTCATCCTGGCATTCTGTAGTGTGGACTGGTTTTTATCGCAACCAAACCTGGCTCGACCCTTACTCTGTTGTGGTGCTCGGATTTGCCAGTGATGACGTTAACTGATTAGCCTGGTCTGCCCCCAATCCATGCCTAATGTATGCCAGTGGGAAACTTCTTGTGGCCTGCTCTGGGCTGTTTCCATTCATGCTTCTTGCGCTTACCCGTGGGGTCTGTGTCCTGCCAGAGGAGTTGCCCAGGCTCCTCCATCAGAACCTCTCCTAGTGCTGGATTTTGCGCATGCCAGTGGGTCCATGAGCCAGTCCTACTCAGTTCCTGACTAGCTTTCGACCCAAGCTGGTTCTTGTTGTTGGATATTTCAGCCCAGCCAAGGCTCGTCCAGTCCATTCCCACATATGGCCCCCCAGGAGCCTATTCAGGAAAACAGAGCCTAAGTCCTTGAATCATCATCTACTGCCTTCCAGTGTCACATGACAAGGAAACTGGAGCAGCTGGGGACTCCTGCAGGGGCTGTGGCTGTCTCAGAAGCATTTTAGCTGCTGTGGGAAATGCCCACCCCCCTGCTTGTCTTGGTGTAATGCTGTAAATTTCCCTCTAGGAAAGATGATTGAAAGTTGGAGACACAGAAAGGGGATACAAATGCTCTCTCTGAGATTTAAGAACTCGGCTAAGCTGTAACCATGTAGCTAGGTCAGACAGACCAGAGACCACAGCGCCCCCACCAGGATGCTGACAAAGTAGCGCCTCCCTTTGCTGTCTTAGGGCTGGGCTGTTGGTACAGCGGGTCAGATGCCACTAGGGACACCCCCATCCCATAGCGGAGCCCAGGTTCAAGTCCCAGGTTCCCTGTGACCCCAGCTTCCTGTTACTGTGCACTCTGGGAGGCAACAGTGAGGCCTAAGGACAGTCTCTACTTCTCTCCGTGAAATCTGCCTTTCAAATAAAAATAAATAAAACTTAAAGAAAAAAAAGATGAAACGTGGGATGCTGAATCCTATCTGAGTGCTTGGTTTAAGTCTTGGCACCGCTTTTGGCCACGCTTCCTCCCAACACACAGCACCCTCCTCTGGGACAACAGAGGAGGGTGGACGTGGACCCACGTGGATGCCAGGCTCTGGCTTTGACCTGCCCCGACGCCAGGTGCTGTGTGCATTTGGGGAATGAGCCAGGGGATAGGAGACACTCTCTCTTTCAATAAGATGAAAAAATTTCAAATTAATAAAAATAATGTTTCTTAGACTTTGTTTATTTTTATTGGAAAGTCAGATATACAGAGAGGAGGAGAGACAAAGAGGAAGATCTTCTGTCTGAGGAATCACTCCCCAAGTGACTGCAATGGCCGGAGTTGTGCTGATCCAAAGCCAAGAGCCCGAAGCGTCTTCCAGGTCTCCCATGTGGGTGCAGTGTCCCAAGGCTTTGGACTGTCCTCAACTGCTTTCCCAGGCCACAAGCAGGGAGCTGAATTGCATCAGGGCTGCCAGGATTAGAACTGGCACTCATATAAGATTCCGGTGTGTGCAAGGTGAGGACTTTAGCCACTAGTCTACTGTACTGAGCCCATTAAATATATAAAAATATGTGTTATCTCTCCCTCATCCTGTGGTGTTTTCTGTTCACAGGCCCAGGGACTCCCAGTCTGGGTGACAGAGGGGTTGATTGTGGGCTCTCAGAGAACACAGAAGCCTTTGACCTTGGCTGTGCCCTGTCTGGATGTGAACAGTGGGAGCTGAAACATCACAAGCTGAGACTGCAATGACTGCCCCTCCCCCCGACATCCCAGCTAAACAGGAGGGTGCCCAGGGGTTCATACAGCTGACCAGGTACCTGACTCCATCCCACAACCCTCAGTACCTACTGAGAGTCCCACCTACTCCTCAGCACCCTGGGAAAAGGTCAGAGGTCAGCAGTGGAGTGTGGCTCAGAACTGGGTGCCCCTGTTTCCCATCTCCTAACTATTGGGGATCCCAGGTGAGACTTCTGTAAGAGGGGCCAACTGCACTGGGGGCTGTGCCGCAGCCAGGTACGATCAAAGAAACCAAGCAACAAAATGAACACAGGGAGATGGGAGCCCAGGGCTGAACCCAAGTGAGCTTTGCTGCCCAGGCCCCATGCAGCCTCCACTGCCTTGGCCCACGAGACAGCACAGCCTGACCACCTCTGAGTCCTGTGATGGCAGGTGTTGGTGGGCATTTCCTACCAGAGAGACCAGGACACTGGGGCAGCTAAGCCGGGTCAGCAGTGACCATGACAAAGCCTAATGGACGGAGCTCTGCTTGGGCACAGCCTCGCCCTCACCCAGAGCCTGCCAGCCTCTCCTGTCCCCATCTGCAGCTGACTCAACACAGCAAACACATAGAATCTGAAAGATTCTAGTTGCTTCTGTTTATTTTCACCACAAATTGTAGGGATTACCTCCTTTAATTATCTCACCAAGACCTCAGAGAGGAATTGGAAAAAATGATTTGCTGTTCAGATCTGCACAGGGAAGGATGAAGCTGCAGCAGGTGCACCTGACTTGAGACAGGGATGGAGGTGCCCACGCTGGGCTGGGAGGGCCAGGCTCCCACCTCACACTGTGCCCACAGGAACACACTCAGCTGCCTGTGCAGGAAGGGAGGGCGGGGCTTGGTCAAGGATGAGGACTTGACCAAGTCTGTCCCAAAAAGGCAATTGTCTCACATTACAGAAACAGGGTAACAAATTCAGGTCACTGCACCTGGAGACAGGAACAGCAAAGCACACATGAAAATGTGCGAATACAAGGAATCCCCCAGCCCCTCTGTGTCCCCTCAGCAATGGCCACTCTCCCCTTGAGGCCCTCCAGGTCTCACCTTTCAGGCTGTGAGAGAGCAGTCAGAGCCCTGGGAACTGTCACCACCTGGGAGAACCAATTAGGACTTGGTGAGAGCTCAGGATGTGACTGACGGAGCAGCTACCAGATGGACTTCTCCAGGGCCATCTGACTTGGCAAGGGCCTTGGGGCTCCTCCACCCTCAAACACACCCCAGTGCTTACCTGCAGCCTTAGTGTAGTTTCCTCCTTTCCCACCTGTGACAGAAAACAACTAGTGAGAGGCAGGGAGAAGGCAGAGCCTGACACTCGTAGAGGGAGCCCAGAGGACTGGCTCATCTCAGAGAAGATTCCAGAACTGTGGCTGGCAGACCCAGGAAAGGGTCAGGAGGTGCCTCTCCTGGAGCTGGGACCTCCCCCTGACCTGGGACTGCTGAAACTCAGGTCCCCATGAGCAGAGTCATCCCCATGGAGTGTTTGTTCTCCCCCTTCACTTTTGTTTCACACCAGAGCCAGTGTGAGCACCCGGGGCTCAGCTGGGGGTGCAGGTGTGTGCAGGTTGTTTCCCAGGTTTGGGAAGGGAGACTTTCCCACAGGGGACAGGAAACTCCGCCCCCGCCCTCACCCTGCCCTACCTGATCTTTTTCTCCTTATCATCACCACAGCTGTGACCACAGCTCCAATGAGCACAGCTGCCAGGAGGACCAGGCCAGCAATGACTCCCCACATGGGCACAGTGGGATGAGGAGGCTCTGAGAGGGGAAGGGACAATAAGGGGCTCTGACCCCATGGCTCAGCCCTGACCCTGCTGAAGGCTCTCTGTCCACTCTGCCCTCCTTACCCCATCTCAGGGTGAGGGGCTCAGACAGCCCCTCATGATACACCTGGCAAGTGTATCTGTGCTCCTCTCCAGCAGGCACCAGCACAGCTGCCCACTTCTGGAAGGTTCCATCCCCTGCAGGCCTGGTCTCTATCAGCTCTGTGTCCTGGGTCAGGTCTTCCCCATCCCGCTGCCAGGTCAGTGCGATGTCCTTGGGGTAGAAGCCGAGGGCCCAGCACCTCAGGGTGGCCTCTTGGTCAGAGATGGCGTGGTGGGTCACATGTGCTGTGGGTGGGTCTGAGAGAAGACTTGAAAAATTCAAACCTTTTGTGTTCTTTAAGGGGCAGCAAAGCTACATTCAGTGGGCATCTTGAGAGTGGACAGGAGGACTGGGGCGTGGGGGGAGTGCCCCTGCCCAGGTCCTTTCTCTTCGATAAGGCAACAGTGAGCCTCTGGTGCTGCCCCAAAGCCCAGGAGGGTATAACCGCTGAGGAGAGGTGGACACTGGCTGGGTCCCACTTTCTTCCCCTCTTTAAATCCAGCCCAGCCCCGCGCACCTGTGCGCTTCAGAGTCTCCTGGCCCATCTCCAGGTATTTGCGCAGCCACTCCACACACCTGCCCTCCAGGTAGGACCTTTGGTGCTGTGCATAGCCTGCTGCTTCCATCTTTTGCTTGGTGATCTGAGCTGCCACATTGGCCGCGGTCCAGGAGCGCATGTCCTCATTCAGGGCGATGTAGTCAGTGCCGTCGTAGGCATACTGCCGGTACCCGCGGAGGAGGCGCCCGTCCTCCCCGACCTCGCAGCCGGACATCCTCTGGATGGTGTGAGAGCCTGTCCCGCCCGCGGTCAGCCCTGGCCACGCAGCTCCGCCCCGCCCTCACCGACCCGCGGGGATTTCGCCCGAAACCGAAAACGAAACCCGGGCGTGTCCCGCGGCTCCTCTCGCCGAGGGTCTCCGCGGGGCGCGAGGTCTCGGGGTGGGGGACCTCGGCCCCGGGGACCCGGAGCGCCCTGGGCGCACGTGGGGAGGGGTCGGGTCACTCACCCGCCTTGCTCTGGTTGTAGTAGTGGAGCAGGGTGTTCAGGCTCACGCGGTTCATCTGTGCGTTGTCCTTGCAGATCTGCGTGTTGCGGTCCCAGTACTCCTGCTCCAACTGCCGCATCCACGGCGCCCGCGGCTCCATCCTCGGGTTCTCGGCGTCGCTGTCGAAGCGAGTGATCTGCGTGTCGTCCACGTAGCCGACTTCGATGTAGCGGGGCTCCCCGAGGCCGGGCCGGGACATGGCAGTTCTGAAATACCTCAGGGAGTGGGAGCCTGGGAGAGAAGGGTAGAGATCGAACCTGTCTCCCGCCCGGTGCAGGACGCCGGGAAACGCGTTTGCTGGGACGGCTGGGGGGAAGGGTCCGAGGGGTCGCGAAACGGAAAAGGGGCGGCGGGGAAGGGTCTGTGTGAGGGGAGGGCCGAGGTGGGGACGTCAGCGCAGGGGGCGGCGAAGTGGTGACCTCCGGGGGTCCTGTGTCCCCTCCGTGCGCTCCCCTCGCTCCTGCGCCGCAGAGCCCGTCTCCCTCCCGACCCGCACTCACCTGCCCGGGTCTCGGTCAGGGCCAGGGCCCCCGCGAGCAGCAGGAGGAGGGTCCGGGGCGCCACGGACCCCATCCTGGGAGTCTGGGGAGACTTTGATCTCGGTGACTTAGTGTCGATTTAATAACCTGGATCTGGCGGCGCTGATTGGCTCGTCGGGAAATGGCATGTCCAATGGGAGTGTCCAGGTAGAAGGAGCTTACTCCGACTGGGAGAGGAAAGTGAGGTGGGGGACTCACCACCTTGGCTTCCCTGGCCCAGACCTGCCCTGGCACTGAGACCCTGAGGGCCACGCGGGGACCCGGGACTGTGCCCTAAGCCTGTGCCATCCTTCTTTCCTGGCTTCCAACGCCCGCAGCTTCTTCCGGGTCTACGTGTGGGTGCAGAGTCCCACGGCTTAGAGCTGTCCTTTCCCAGGCCACAAACAAGTAGCTGGATGGAAGTGGAGCTGCCAGGATAAGAACCGGCGTCCTTATGGGATCCCGGTGCGTGCAAGGCGAGGACTTCAGCCACTAGGTTACCGCGCCAGGCTCCATATTAATTCTAATCCAGAAACATGGAATATTTTTCCCATAGTTTGTGTCTTCTACCTCTTTCATTAATGTTGTATGGTTTTCATTATAGAGATCTTTCACACCTTTGGCTAAATGGAGCCCAAGGTGTTTCATTTTTTTTTTTTGCAGCTGTTGTGAATGGGAAGACCTGGTTCACACAGGGGCTGAAGCACATGTTCTCATGTGTCTGCCTCTCAGAGATGTGAAGTTCAGGTTCCCCAGTTTCTGAGGGAGCAGGAGCGTCTCCTATCAGATTCCCCCCCCCCCCCCCCGGGAAGGATTCTGGGCTCCTGTCTGACCTGCTGCAGCCAAAAGCCTGAGGAAACCAGAGCTGGGATTGAATTATGGCAAATGCCCTCCAAATAAAAACAACTTTTCCCTGTGAATGTCTGTACCCTTTATTTATTGTTGTAAATGCTTATTCTCTTGTTTATTCAGTGTTGTAAATTCTTTCAGATTTCCCCTATTATTCTTAGTTTTCAGTGGATGAGGCCATCCTAAGGGCACATGTGAGAGACAAAACTGCCCTCATTTGTTCCTGGGAAGTGAGCCAGTGGAAGGGAGCCTCTCGTGGGTCTGTTAGTCTTCACCTCTCAAACAGATAAATAATCTTACAAGAAAGACACTGTAAGGAAAGCTCCATGGACACCTCCAAGGAAGGGTCGGGAAGAGCCCCTGGACTGGCCATGCAGTCAGCTGCTGAGAGGGGCTGCAGCCCAACTCCACTGGGACACAGAGGCCCTGACACCAGGACCCTTGTAGACCTTGCGCTCATCTGGCTGTTCCTCTGTGACCTTGGTGTAGACTGTAACAAGGAGTACAACACCTGCCTGGGTTCTGTGAGTTTTTACAGAACATGATCCAACCTGGGAGGAACATTGTAGAACCCCCAATGTTGTGGAACCCCGTTGATGAAAAAGCAGATGACCTGGGGACCACTCCTGCAGCTGGCCTGGGAGGTGAGGGCAGTGTCATGGGTTGGGCCTGGAGCCTCCGGGTCAGACATTAACTGCAGGTGTCCCTGCCAGGATCAGGGCACGACACCCAGTTGGTGTCAGAGAATCAGAGACCTGCTTGGAGGGAGGGAAAAGCCCTTCACTGACCCATGCAGTGGAATTCAGAGGGAGTGTTAGCAAGTGAGCCTCCACCTTGTCTCCTCCAGAACAACAGAAGCATTTCCAGCACACCTCAGAGCTGTTTAATTCAGGACCCCCAGGCTGTGAGTGGGGAGAGCATTCCTGGAGCAGGCCCAAGGCCAGGGTTAGAAGTGTGAGCTGTGCCCTCTGTGCCCAGCAGCAGGGCTGTGGTTCCCAGCTGGGACCTCCCAGGGTGAGGCCATGGATTCTGCTCCTGGCTGTGCATCCTCAACCAGGGTCTCTGTATTTCCTCTGCCTTCAGTCAGCTACAGTGTCACACAGCCAAGGGAAGGGTAACTTAGCAACTCCTGGATTTCACTGTGGGCTTCAAGGCGTGAGAATCTGTGTGGGGCACTGTGTGAGTCAGGTGGATCCTGGGAGGTTCTGCATTCTCAGCTGTGGCCTCTTCCTGAACCTTCCTCCTGGGCTGCCCCACCAGGAGAGAGGACACTATGTGTCTCCAACATCCTGTGCTGTCGCTGACCACCTGTGCCCTTTATATCCTCCCTGATGGAAAGCCATGACGTAGGTGTGGGCACTTGGCACAGGGGTAAAAATGAAGCTTGGTATGCCCAATCCAGTTTCAGTGCTCTGTTTGTGTCCTGGTACCACTTCCAACCCAGCGCCCACCCAGTGCATGACCTGGAAGGCAATGGGTGGTGCATGAGGGCACCTGGACTGAGTTCTGGGGCTCTCTGCCCATGGGCCCAGGGGTTCCCAGTGTGAGTGACAGTGGGTTTGATTGTGGGTTCTCAGAAAAGCAGGTGCGTTTGAACTTCGCTGTGCCGTATCAGGATGTGAACACTGGGAGCTGAGAACATTAGAGGCTGAGACTGTAGTGACTGCCCCTCCCCCTCGACATCCCAGCTAAACAGGAAGGTGCCCGGTGAGGGTGGGGCCTCCTTGGGAACCATAAAGCTGACTTGGACTTGGGATTCCCCGCCCCTGTCCAGCAGCTTGACAGAGTCCTGCCCAGCCCAGCATCCCAGGGACAGTCAGAGGTCAGAGGAAGGTGTGACTCAGAACTGGGTGCATGTGCTTCCCACCTCAGTAGGCTGGAACACCATAAGTGAAACTGTTGTTAGCTGTGCTGCCTGCACTCAGATCTTTGTCAGAGCAGCCCCTCGCTGTGTGGGAGCCCAGGGTCCAGGTGTGACCATCTGCAGGGCAGGCTGAGGCCCAGGTCAGAGTCCTGTCTCCTTGCTGCCAGCTTGTGTTCTGGGGGTGGCACCATTAGCACCCACCTGAGCCATATGCAGATCCCCTACCTATTACAGACTGTGTAAGCCCTCCCAGTGTCCAGGAAATTCCCCTAGCATGTATGTGGTCCCTGGTTCCCACAGTGACCCTAGCCCTGCAGCTGCTTGGGCAGTGAGCTTGGTTCCCCCCAACACACTTAGCCATGCAGGCCCAGGACTCAGTCCTGTGCCCACTCTCGTCACAGCCAGACACTTCCTGGGTGCTCTGTCTCTACTCCTGATGGAAAATGTGGTTCATGTGTATCCGCCTTCCCAGTGCTTCTCCTACAGACATTTCTCTTTAGCTCTTGACTCGTGGTCACTGTCAGCCTTGCAGTGTCATTCACTTACGGCCAATCGCCAGGCTCCCACTGCTTCTGCACTGATAGCCTTGGGGACCCTCCTTGGATCCACCCTCCCAGGTCGCCCTTCTCCCACAGTGATGCCATCTCTCCACTGTCATGCCTCCTCCTCCTCTTTCCCTGGATGCAGTCCACAGGAAGTGCTGTGCATTTATCTGCAGAAGGATCCAGAACCTCATCTCTCCCACTCTGCCCACACCCACCACAGTGACTGGCATCCCTGCCTGGACACAGCAGGAGCCCTTAGAGCTTTGGCTCCAGTCTCACAGTCTCTCAGCCCCGTCCTCACACAGCAGCCAGGGTGGTCCTTGGACAGGAGAAGGTGCACATGTCCCTCCCCTGCTCAGAGCTGTCTCGTGGCTCCCACCTCACTCAGAGCCAGGGCTGAGCCTTCCAGTGTGTGTGTGGCCTGCTTGACAGTAGTGCCCCAACTCAGCCTTCCTGACAGCTCCCTGCTCTGTGTGCAGACTTGTTTCTGCCTGGGGGCATTTGCACTGGCCATCCCCGGCCAGCATAGAATCTACCCAGAAATTTTTGCTGGTAATTCATTGTGTCCTTCTCACCTTCCTTCAGTGTGATGCACGCTGACCATGATGGTGAGGCAATCAGCTGCTCTGGGCCCTCACACCCACCCTGGACCACGTTGCTCTAGCACTGGGTCTGACTCACAGTAAAGTCAGCTGAGTGAAGAGTGTGCAGCACCTGTCCCTTCCAGACCTTGTGGCTTCATTAGTGGAGGCTGAGTCAGAGGCTGCTTGTGGCTGCTGCAGAGCAGGTCCCCTCTTGCTGGTGTCCCCATGGCCTGTGCTTTCTCACAAGTGTCCTCTGCTCTCCTGCCTCCCCTCCCTCCCACACTGCCTCCTGCACACACAGAGTGAAGGCCACCAGAGCTCACAAATATGAAGTGCATTTGCAATCAGCCAAACCTAAGAAACAAAACAAACACAGGAAGGTTGGAGCTGAGAGCTGAACCCAAGACTGAGCCTGGGCTGCCCCCATGCATGCCCCACAGCCTCGGGTCCACCAGACAGGCTGGGTCCTGTGATGGCAGGCATTGGTGAGTAAGTCCTATCAGAGAGAATAGGACTCTGGGGCAGCTGAGCTGGGTCAGCAGTGACCATGACAAAGCCTGATGGGCTTGAGCAGTGCCAGGGCCTCCCAGCCTCTCCTGTCCCCACTGGCAAAAGACTCAGCACAGTAAATACATGAATTCTGGAAGGTTCTAGGTGCTTCTGTTTATTTTCTCTGTTGAATTTTTGGATTTTCCTATTCTAATGTTCCAACAGCTCATGATAAGAATTGGAAGCATGAATTGCTGTTCAGATTTGCACATGGAATCACTTCTTGGCCTTTTCTGTAAGAGCAAGTGCTGGTCTGCACAGGAAGGATGAAGCTGCAGCAGATGCACCTGACTTGAGACAGGGACGGAGGTGCCCACACTGGGCTGGGAGGGCCAGGCTCCCACCTCACACTGTGCCCACAGGAACACACTCAGCTGCCTGTGCAGGAAGGGAGGGTGGGGCTTTTTGAAGACACAAGGATGAGAACTTGAGTAAGGTTTCTTATCCCTCAGTTTTAAACAAGGCAGTTGTCTCATGTTATAGAAACAAGGTATCAAATTCAGGTCACTGTACGTGGAGACCAGGACAGCCCAGCACACCTAATCCTTGTGTATATTTTATTGCTATACTGGTATTGTTCAGGCCTGATTTACATCAGGAAGACATTAGATTTCAGGCAGCCCCACAAGGTGCATCAGACACTGAATGCTGGGATCCCAGCTGGGCTCTGAGGATTGTCTGTAAGAACCCTGACAGTCCAGTGAGCCCTGGGCATCTGTTGCCTGAGAATCCTGACCTCTGACCTCACCTCCTCTCAATCCTCCCCCATCATTTCCTCCTCTCCTTATGGTTCTCCCCGCACCCTCCCAGTCCTGAACTGAGGCCCTACCAGGGTCCCTCTCCTGCCACCCAGGGAAAGTTCTTCCTGCTGTGGTCATCTGCCTCGCTGATGTGTCAAGGGGATCATTGCTTCATGATTACAGCCCAGCAACAGCATTTGCTGTGGTGCAATGCGTTAAATGTCATTTGCAAGGCCAGCATCACATATCCCAGGGTTTCTTAGAGTCCAGGCTGTTCTGCTTCCATCCACCTTCCTGTTGATGTACCTGGGAAGGCAGCAGAAAATCCCCAAGGGATTTCTCACCCACTGGTTCTGTCCCCAAAGGCAACAGTGTTCTGACTGGAACCAGGAACCCACAACTCCATCTAGGTCTCCATGTGGATGCAGGGAGCCAAGTGTCTGGACCATCTTCCCCTGCTTTTCCAGGTGGATTACCAGTGAGCAGGGCAATTGGGAGTCACACAGGTGCTCTGGTTGGGGATGCTTGGATTGCAGGTGGCAGCTGAACCTGGTAAGCCACAGCACCTGGCCTGGCTCCATCTTTCATATAAACAAGCAACAAGCAAACAAATATTCCTTTAGATGGTGCACTCTGAGGGTTTCATTTCACTTTAGAGAAACTTCTAGAATATAAGGCCCATAAGCACAGGAGCCTTTTATCCTGGTCAATGTTGTAACCCTAGCACATAGAGTCATACCTGCTGAAAGTAGGCACTCAATTAATGGAAAGTTTGAAACTCGATTTTATTATGAATTAATTGCATTAAGTGACATAAAAGGAATAGTGTAGGGCCTGGTGCAGTAGTCTAGCGGCTATAGTCCTCACCTTGTACATGTAGAGATTTCATATGGGCACTGGTTCTAAACCAGGTAGTCCTGCTTATCATCCAGCTCCCTGCTTGTGGCCTGGGAAAGCAGTTGAGGACCCAAAGCTTTGGGACCCTGCACCCACGTGGAAGACCCGGAAGAGACTCTAGGCTCCTGGCTTTGGATTGGCTCAACTTTGCCTGTTGTGGCTGCTTGGGGAGTGAATCAATGGATGGAAAATCTTCCTCTCTGTCTCCCCTCTTTGGTTATCTGACTTTGCAATAAAAAAAGATCTAAAAAGAAATAGTACCCGAAACATTGGAAAAGGTTCTATTTCATGCGAGGAATTTTCATGAGAATTCCTGAATCCTTCTAGTGAAGGGTTACATTTCCCTGGGAGGTCAGGTGCCCAGTGGAGCACCTAGCTTCTTTTCTTTTCTTTTCTTTTCTTTTCTTTTTTCTTTTTTCTTTTTTCTTTTTTCTTTTTTCTTTCTTTCTTTCTTTCTTTCTTTCTTTCTTTCTTTCTTCCTTTCTTTCTTTCTTTCTTTCTTTCTTTCTTTCAGATTTATTTTTATTGCAAAGTCAGATATACAGAGAGGAGGAAAGGCAGAGAGGAAGATCT